TATAAAATTAGATGTTCTGAGAAAGATCTATCAAAAACTGTGTGGTATATACAATTAGATGTTCTCACTTATTTATAGTGAAAATATGGATGATGATGAAATTTTTTTACCAAAAAGGCAAATAAAATATTTTGATAAAAAATCATATATATTTATAAGAACATAATTAGTTTTTATTCAAAAATTTCTTTCTTAAATTTTTTTTTAATTTGTCACAGTCTATAGATAAAATTTTACAAAAATCAGTGTTAGAAAAAAGACAAATTAATTTCATAATGTAACACCGAGATATTGACCCGAACATCTAAAAAGAGTAGTTAGTCTTAAATATTTCCCTAATATTTCAAATATTTGTTTCATAGCTAAATTTGTTATAACTATTTTTCGCGGGAACATTCGAAATTCAATTTGAAGCGATTTTCCCGCGTTATTTAAAATATTGTTAATACCGTTATATTCACTTAATAACTAACTTATTTATCATTTAGATAAATTTGTTCCTATACATACAGTCAAATCTATCATAAATTTATTTCAATATAAATAATATTAAAATTATCTTTTTACAATGTATCCAATTTTTTTTTGTCTGTTTAAATTTTTTTAGAGTGTTGTTCTTATTAATTACTGGAAGTTTAAAATTTTGCTTACTCATATTTTATTCTGAACACAAACACAATATAAAAATAATATACAGCTGTCGGAAAAAATAAAAATAAAAAGGGAGAAAAATAATATTTAGCTGTCAGAATAATTATTTTTGAAAATACAAATAGATAAATAATTTTATAATATTAAATTTTTCAAATTGATGATATTCACCAAAAAAGTAATTGTCTATTCTAAGTATAGAAAAACAATTTATAGAAACAAACTTTCTTTGTTGGTACATTTGTTTCTAGTCAACTTTTAGTACTTAGAAGTAAATATAAATTTTAAATTATGATATTATACCATTTTTATAATTATTTTTAGTATAAAGAATAGGTAATTTTTGCTAGTCAACAAAAATAACAAAAAATGACTGATTTCTATTATAATATGTTGACTACAATGAATGCACAATCAATTTAAATTTACAGATTCATAACAAAGTTTTCCTTATTGGCTTTTAAAGTAAATAATTCATATCACTTTGAATGTTGAGAAAAAAAAATAGTTTGACTAGTATGTTGCCTTTATTTCCAATTAGCACTTTACTAGTTAAAGGGAAAACAAATATGACATATAGTAAAAAATTTATAAATTAATAAACTTTTTCGGTTATGAGTTAAGCAAGTCTAATATTTGATATAATACGATAAAATGATAAGATAATATATTTTTTGAAAAATCTATATTAATATACGGTCTCGTCAATATCATAAAATTAATAATTGTTTAAATATGTCAAAATATATATATGTAAGAAGATTTAGTGAAATATGTCTCTAGTGTTGTTGTTATTTTCTTAAGTTTCATTCATTCTTGGTAGAGGTTATTTCAAATATTTGCACTTCATCAAAAATGTTGGGAGACATGATAATTGGTTTTTTACTTGTAATTGGTTCTAAAAATATGTTGATTATAACCAAAAAAAAATTATCTTGGAGTTGAATGTTTTTAAGAAATTGTGAAATTAATCAAATCTTTCACTAAATTAAAAATCATTAATTTATTCATACTTTTATAAATTAAGAAACTATTTTAGTCCGGACATTATTAATTATAGAAATTGTAACACCCCAGTTTCAGGAATATGGTGGTGCATGCGGAGAGGTTTAAAAGAATTGATTTGGCCACCTATATCACCAAAGTGCACTCATCTTTTCGGTCAAGTGTCCTGAGAGAACTCCACAGTTAAGCGTGTTTGGGCTGGAGTAGTTTCAGGATGGGTGACCTTCCGGGAAGTGATTGTCAGAATTGTGTGAGTGAGGACAAAACACAGGGAAAGATCATGTGGTGATTTGTAGGGTCGGTAAACAAGTCTTTAAAGCCTCCCGGACGTAGCGGACCGACCGTCGGACATGGGTGGGCCCATGGGCCCACGAGAGGACGTGAGGCCCACTGGTAGGGACGGTCGGGGCGTTACAAGTGGTATCAGAGCCGAACCCAGGCGAGTGTGGAGTCAAGAGGGCTCACACCGTAGGGGGTGACGGTCTTGGTGCGCAACGAGGACGTTGCGATCTGTTAGTGGGGGTGAATTGTAACACCCCAGTTTCAGGAATATGGTGGTGCATGCGGAGAGGTTTAAAAGAATTGATTTGGCCACCTATATCACCAAAGTGCACTTATCTTTTCGGTCAAGTGTCTTGAGAGAACTCCACAGTTAAGCGTGCTTGGGCTGGAGTAGTTTCAGCATGGGTGACCTTCCGGGAAGTGATTGTCAGAACTGTGTGAGTGAGGACAAAACACAGGGAAAGATCATGTGGTGATTTGTAGGGTCGGTAAACAAGTCTTTAAAGCCTCCCGGACGTAACGGACCGACCGTCAGACAGGGGTGGGCCCATGAGCCCGAGAGAGGATGTGAGGCCCACTGGTAGGGACGGTCGGGGCGTTACAGAAGTTTTACTGTATATCGTATGGGTATTGTTTAAATTTGTTTTCTTTTTAGAAAAATTAGACTCTATCTTAATTAGTTGACTACAATACATATGTAATAAAGAAATATATATATCTATATCTATCGAGCATCGCGACAATCCTTATATATATTCCTCAAACAAAGAGGCCTGTATTAGTTTAACAATGATGGTTTCTTTGCCATCTTCTTAACCTTTGATCTTAGCCATATGAGTTTTTGGAAATATTTTTATCATTTGTATAGTTGCATAAATTCATTAAATTCATCAAAATTGTTGTTTTGACGCCATAGGTTACGTCTATGGCTTTGAGAATATCATCCTTGTTTGGGGTGGGGGTACTTTTACATGATTTGAGAAAGTACATGACATCAGGTAAAGCGTGATTCCGCTCAAGTTAGTTTGAAACTATACTTTCTAAAGTTTCTTTTAATCTTGCATGTTGAACTTTGACCTAATCTGATACGAGCCAAAGCTTTAGATTTCGAACTCGTAATCATATTCTTTGTTATCGTGAGAAATAAAAAAAGAGATTAAGGCTATATTCCGCTTAACTCTAGTCTCTCTTGGAGATTATATAAGGTTAATTCTTGGAAGTTGATATTTTATTAATCATAAGAGGTCTATTTTATAGACCTTGGTACAACTAAATTAAAAGTAAAATCACCAAAACCATAATGTAATGTAAAACGGAAAATACCAAAACTAATTAATTTAAACATCTTAATTCCTAATCAACCTAACCTTAGTCTCTTATCATAATGTCGGTTTTAAGACCACCATGAAGTCCATCAATAACAAGATTTCATGAAAAAATGTCCTTTGTGATTATAGATAATTTAGTTTGTTGACATTTTAGAAAATTCCCTCCAATTTATCAAAGAAGGGCACAATTAGACCTTAAGGAATTGAATGAGTGTCACCCAATACCCTTGATGCAGCCAAATCTGTTGTCATTTCACCTTCAATCAAGTGGGTAGGCCATTTCAAATGTAATGTCGAAGTGGCGTGGAAAGCAGATTGGAAGCGGTTCAGTATTATTGGGTGGATTCTAAGGGATTAAACAGGGAAAGCAAGGTGGGTTGGAGCAAAGGCCTATCCACTTCTACCTTCTAATTTAGAGGCTGAAGCTGCAGCTCCCCCTTGGCTATGAAATGTCCAGATAATCAGGTTTTCGAGAAGGTAAATTTTTAATTTGGTTCTCTGGTTTTAATACAAGCCTTGGAAGACCATTGCTTCTTCTTTCTCAATTACCATGCGTTTTTGGATTGTAGTCCTCCTACTTGTCCTTAGTGGGGGATTTACAGTGAAAGGAGGCGGCGCACGTGCCCCACACTCATTCTTCATAATTAGTTAACTAATCAGATTGTCATATTAATTTCTTTTAGCTCATTTGTAAGTAGTGTCCCATATAAAGTTTTTTTCATTTTATTATTTCTTTCCCACATTTTTATTACATCAAAAAAAATTATTACTTAAAAACGATTGGTGCCCCATATGATTTTCTTTCCTAGATCCACCACTGCTTGTCTTGTACCAAATATTGAACAAGAGAAACTTGCATGATGTTCTTGAGTATTGGTAATAATATTAGTACGTCTGAGGGAAAAATAAAACAAATAAGAAGGGCATATTCCAGTTTGTTGAAGACCAATATCAATGTTCAAGAAAATTTTGAGTTTCTTCCCGCTTTGGTTATGCTACAAAATCAATAATAATGTGGATTAAAAAAACACGTATAATTTAGAGCGTAACTGAATTCTTATTAATAGACTTTTGTTCAATTTAATTTCTTTTAATGGTCATAAACATTTGTATATATGGTTCCAAGTAACTCAAACAATACAAAATTGTGAGTTTCTTAAATGGGTTTCCAGCAATGGCATTTTTCCTCATCAGTTTCATAAAACTTATATGAAACCTTATCATATCGAGATACTCAACTTTTTATATAACAACTTAGATTTAAAAATAAAATTTTAAAACTTAATGGTTGAAATGTTCCCACTCGTAACTTTGGTTAATAATTGATTAGTTTATATAAGAAATTTGATTGTTATTAAATTTTAATAGAGATGAAGATTTATCTCAAATCAATTAATTTAAAAAACTTAATGATCCTAACTTTTGCTTAATTTTATTAATCTTTCTTTTTAACAAAATTTAGTATATATATCTGAATCATTCCTTTCATTACCATTTGATTTAGATATAATAAAATCTCATAAATTTTGGCAATGTGTACCTAAGATATAATCTAGTATATGATTAAAAACTGATGGGTTGTTCCTCCATAACATGATAATCAGATAAAAGACACAGGCTGATGCTTAAGAATTAAGATTATCAGATTCTCCCTGCAGGGAAGAGATTGATACACACATAAAAATCCTAACAAAAAGTGTATATAAATAAACTTAATTAATAACTTGTTCTTCGTACCTAGTAGGATTGATCCAAAATGTGGAGGCTTAGGATTGGAGCTGAGGCAGGACAAGACCCTCATTTGTTCAGCACCAACAACTACCTTGGAAGGCAGATTTGGGAGTTTGATGCTAACGCAGGCTCTGTAGAGGAACTTGCCGAGGTTGAGGAGGCTCGACGGAATTTCACAAACGACCGATCAAGTTTCAAAGCCAGTGCGATTTCCTTTGGCGTATGCAGGTGAAAACCCTTAAAACTAGCATAAATCTTGGTTAACTATATTGCCCAGAATATAAGTTTTTGTTTTTGTATATTTATCTAAACGTTTCTAAGGGAAAGAAAATTCAAGCTGAAGATTCCGCGAGTGAGAGTAGAGAATGCAGAGAAAATAACGTACGAAGACGCAAAAACAACACTAAGAAGAGGATTACTCTATATGACGGCGTTGCAAGCTGATGATGGACATTTTCCTGCTGAAAATTCTGGTTGCATGTTTTTTTTGTGCCCCTTTTGTGAGCTATATTTTCACTACTCCCATAACCAGATTTTTTGTTTGAATCTCCGGCGATCTTATGGAGATGAGTAACAACAAGTTTCTCAAAATCGAGCCTATGTACCTTCAATTCCCTTGTAAGCTTTTATTTTTTTTGTTTTGTTTTTTCTCCATGATTTTGCATGTCTTTCTTGTCTCCCATAACCAGATTTTTGTTGAGTTATGGTTTAATATTAGATTTTACAATTTACTTCGCTGATTTGATGTAGTTGAATTGAAGAAGCAGATGTCTTGCTCTCTTAACTTGACGAACAAGACAGAGGCCTTTAAGGTAAAAAGTTTTCGGAATCGTTAAATTGTTGTTGATTATCTCGTGTTTCTAAGGCTTCTCGGGGTTGTTTTTTTTTTTTTTTTAATTTAAGGTTAAGACAAAAAATCCGAAAATTTATTGCGTTAGGCCTAATTATGGACTCATTCTTCCAAAGTCGACTTGTAAAGTTCTTGGTCCGTTCTCTAATCTTTTTCTTGGGGAAACATTTTTTTTGCTTCAGCTGCTAAACTGGTTCTTGTATTAGGAATTTGATGAATCTTTTTTGGTGTTTGTCTAGTGACAATGCAAGCCCAAAAGGAAGTTCTTAATTCTGATATGCAGAGGAATGAAAAGTTTATGATTCAAAGTGTAATAGCTAGTCCTGCAGTCACAGCCAAAGAAGTTACTCGTGAGACGGTACTGATCATTCACATTATTGATTTGATGGATAATCACAGTTTGGTTTTTGGTTCCTTAAAGCATTTGTTTCGCTTTTTTATGAGAACCTTTGCAGTTTAGGAAAGAATCGGCGCATCTAGTTGAGGAGACTAAACTGAGAGTTACTTATGTTTGCTCCACCACCACCAACATCACCAATTCACCAAGGACCAGAAGAGGGTTTATATTTCAGTGTTTTTGTTAGATATTTTCTCTTTACTTCATTGTAGATTTTAATCACCAGTAACACTCTTACCGATGTCTCTTGCTGTGGCGTTGGAGCTGCTTGCCACGAGCTCGAAATAGCGACTGGTAAAACTCGAAGGAATCTGTACAATAATTTGTATGTAAAATAATTATGAGATCAGACCCATTTTGTATATGTAAATACTAATGATCATCTAGATAATCATATCCTTTATATGTAAATGAATCATTTAAAATGATGATATTCAAAGGTTTGAGTTTGGACTGTATATATTTAGAAACTTATTTCTAAAACTAACCTGAACAAATTTTATATCTTTTATTTACACTTACTATGATTTTTTATTAGAAAATAAATAATTCGTCCACAAAATTGTTTGAGGCATCTCTCCACCAGTAATCTGGAATGAAAAATCAGATACAAGCTAACAATTAGTTAATAACCCATCTAAAGCGAAATGACTTATTCTAGTGTCATTTACAATCAATTGTTTGGGACCAAAAGTTCCAATTTCCAAAAATTCAATTACAAAAATTAAAAGAATGACCCCGATTCGCGACTAAAAATAATGGTGGCAACGGAATTTGAGGTGGTATGAAAGTTAGTAGTCCAAAACGAAATATTAAAAGAGAATATGGTATAGTCAGAACCGGTAAGCGATAAATTTTGTTCATATTGTAGTCTCTTACCGCCTCTGACTATTCCATATTCTCTTTGAACATTTCGTTTCGGACAACTAACTTTCATACCACCTCAAAATCCGTTGCCACCACTAATTTTTTGGTCGCAAATCGGGCCATATTTTTATTTTTTGTAATTGCATTTTTAGAATTTAGAAGTTTTGGTCCCAAACTATTGATTGTAAATGAGACTAGCATAAGCCCTTTCTCTTTAGATGGGTTATTAACTATTTGTTGGCTTGTATCTGATTTTTCATTTCAGGTTACTGGTGGAGAGAAGCCTTAGCATAACACAATATGTATTATGATATTCAACTAGATAATTCCTCTTTTGACATTTACTACTCAATTTGTATCGTTAAACAACTCAACAAAATAAGCTTCAACAGTACTTCGAGAGCCTCAACAACGCTGTTCTAGAATCATAAATCAGTCATTAATATATCTCTCACTAGTATCTGGAATGAAATTTTTTTTATCTTTCACTTCGTGCTTTTATGATATTTTCGGATCAATCTTAGTGCCATTGTTTCTAGCATGTATTTGTTTGACTCTTTAACTATTTTATTTTCCAAATTGACTCAGTGACGAAGGTAGGAAATAATCAATTATGGAAAAGAAAATAGTTAAAATGCTACAAAAATACATGCATGCCATGAACAATGGCACTGAGAGAGATAAGAAAATACCATAAAAAGCACAAAACTGATGATATGAAAACTTCTATTCCAGAAACTCGTGAAAGAGATATCATGACAAATTTACGATTTCAGAAGTGTTGTTGAGAGTTTTCAAGAAAATGCTGAAGCATATATTTTGTTGAATTTTTTGAAGATAAAAATTTGTCTATAGTACATGCCAAAAGAGCGACTATCACTAAGCATTTACAGCTTGCTAGAAGGACTCTAAACAATCTACGTTGAAATCATGATATTGTATCTTTAAAATTTTGGGGTTATTATTCTCATTTCAATGCATTCTTGAGATTATTTTCAAAGAATAAAATTTGTGTGGTTGATATTTTCTTCTCTTGATTGACACTATTTTGTTGATTTAAAGTCAGATAAGATTGAACCATGATCCAAACGTTTGTATCGTTTGCTTCCAATCCAGTTTTAATATATATATATATATATATATATTAACTTCTATGGTCATTCATTAATCACTAACCTTGTCAATAATGTCACATCTCCAATAAACCTTGCTTCCTTGTCAATAATACTCACAATTTTTTAGTATGTTTCCAATGCCTACCAACAACAAAAACCAGACAAAAAATGATCAATATCAATCTCCACTTAACATCAGCCAATGAGAATGCAAAATACTTCAGTGGACTTTCTAGAAAAGATCATCCCTTTTTCATAATTGAACAACAATATTGATTCATGAATACTAACCTCTTAAAAATTTAAATAACTACCTAAATAAGAATCAGAGAAAAATAATCGTTAAAAGAATTTTAAAAATCGTTATTTTTCTTTTTTTAGTTAATTATTTAGAAACTTTAGAGGTAAGTATCTATGAATCATTATTGTTGTTCTGTTATAACAAATAGGAATGAGATTTTTCTAGAAAGTTCATTAATGTATTAACGTTTTTATATGTAACTCAATTTCATGCAGATAAGTGGCATCTTAAAAATTCATTAGATTTTCTTTAATACAACTTAGAAGAATCTGTTATCAGCGGCGTGCTGCTTGTACTCCAAATTCTGTTGGCGTGATGACAACTACACAACAACAAAGGCTGTGAATACAATCAAAACATCAAACATGTTGGTGAAATTGGCAAATAAAATTACAAATGATTTAGACAGTGAGAGTGTAACGTTGCCCAACAAAACGTTGAAAAACAAATCCCAACATAGAGCCATGACACTAGAACACCAGAGATATCACAATCCTCAAATGAGAGTAAAGAGTCAGTGAGACGTGGTATGTTCTTCAAGTTTCAACTAGAAACTATATAATGATCCATATATCTTTTTCCGGTTAACATGTCCCCTCTGTTTTAAAATCCACTTCCAAGAACTCGGTTATCTAAATCAACTGCATAAAATACTTGCAACAACGAATAAAGAAAAACTGTTACTACAAACAAATCTGCTTTGTGTTTAACTGATTAATAACGACCAGAAAAAAGCAGATTTGTTTGTATTACAGTTATTTTATTCGATGCCCCATTGCAGGTATTTTATGGAGCTGATTTGGAGAACCAGATTCTCAAAAGCGGATTTTACAAAAAAGTGGAAATGAAAACCGAAAGAAGTGAGATGGATAAAACCATAGCTTCTGGTTGGAACTTGAATAACCTACCTCGTCTCCCTGGTTCTCTACTCGTTTGAGAATTCTGAGATCTTCGGTGTTCTAGTGCCATGACTGTACGTTGGGATGTGTTTTTAAATGTTACACTTTCACTCTCAAATCATTTTGTAATTCTGTTTACTAATTCTCACCAAAATATTTGATATGTTGCCAAAAGAGTGACTATCACTAAGGATATAAGATCGACTTTGCAATCATGTTATTGTATCTTTTAAATTTTGGGGTTATTATTCTCATATCAATGCATTCCGGAGATTTTCTTAAAGAGATAAAATTTGCTTGGTTGATATTTTCTTCTCTTGATTGACACTATTTTGTTGGTTTAAAGTCAACTAGATTTAACCATGATCAAAACGTTTATACTGTTTGCTTTCAATCCAGTTTTAAAAAATATTGCAATCATGTAAAAAGAATATATATATTAACTTCTATTGTAATTCAAAAAATCACTAACCTTTTCAATAATGCCACATCTCCAATAAACTTTGCTTTCGTATCTAAGAATGCTCACAATTCTTTAGTATGTCTCCACTTCCTACCAACAAACAAAAAACAGACAAAATGATCAATATCAATCTCCACTTTCAATTAAACCAAAGAACTTGTCAATGACAAATGTTAACCTCAAATATGTTTAAAAATCGGTTCAATCTTTTTGGCCACATAGATTTGTTAAGGCCGAAGATGGCTTTTCCATTGTCTTCACTCATATTCATTTCTTTATCACCTCTTTCATGAACTTCGACCAATTCATTTCCCTACATATAATAAAAATCAATTCGTTCAACAAATTAAATATGATAATTATTTTAGATCTAAAATCATAACAACAACAAAACAAAACCTTTTATTATCCCTCTTTTATTATATTTATAGAGATCATTTTCACTTACATCTAAACGTAAATTGTTGGCTAGCCCTTTATCATTGTTACCACCTCCGCTGCTACTGTCACTTAGATCTAAGATCTTCTGAGTTACCATACACGATTGCTACTGCTTTCACCATGTTTATGATACGTTTTAACAATATAAAATGGAGTGATTATTTACATTGTTTTTCTTCTGTAAAAACTAAAACAATTTGGTATTATGTAGGTATAAATTTAAATAATAAAAATAAAATAAAATAAACTTAAAAATAATAAATTAAAACTCTGGAGAAAGATCTAATATCCTCATAATCGTCATCTTATGAAAAGCCATCATCATGATGCCCTCCGACACATTTATTTACTATGTTATTTCTTCTGTTTTTCTCATATAAAATATAATATAGATACATCAGATCTATGAAAAAAGTCGCATTTTAAGACATTACTAAACTGCAAGTAATATATATGATGAATTATTGATAGATCTATTATTGTATATGAATATAAACAAAGATCCATACCGTTTTCTTGTGATAACTTCATCTTTCCATCCACCGAAATGAATTGGAGATTTAGACTCCAATGATAGTTTCTCGGATTTTTGGTAGTTTTTCTATCAATAAGAATTGGAGAAACGAAGACTATGTGATATATAAAATTAGATGTTCTGAGAAAGATCTATCAAAAACTGTGTGGTATATACAATTAGATGTTCTCACTTATTTATAGTAAAAATAAGGATGATGATGAAATTTTTTTACCAAAAAGGCAAATAAAATATTTTGATAAAAAATCATATATATTTATAAAAACATAATTAGTTTTTATTTAAAAATTTGTTTTTTAATTTTTTTTTTTTAATTTGTCACAGTCTATAGATAAAATTATACAAAAATCAGTGTTAGAAAAAAGACAAATTAATTTCATAATGTAACACCGAGATATTGACCCGAACATCTAAAAAGAGTAGTTAGTCTTTAATATTTCCCTAATAGTTCAAATATTTGTTTCATAGCTAAATTTGTTATAACTATTTTCGCGGGAACATTCGAAATACAATTTGAAGCGATTTTGCCGCGTTATTTAAAATATTGTTAATACCGTTATATTCACTTAATAACTAACTTATTTATCATTTAGATAAATTTGTTCCTATACATAGTGTCAAATCTATCATAAATTTATTTCAATAGAAATAATATTCAAATTATCTTTTTTACAATGTCTCCAATTTTTTTTTATCTGTTTAAATTTTTTGAGAGTGTTATTCTTATTAATTACTGGAAGTTTAAAATTTTGCTTATTCATATTTTATTCTGAACAAAAACACAATATAAAAGTAATATACAGCTGTCGGAAAAAATAAAAATAAAAAGGGAGAAAATAATAATTAGCTTTCAGAAGAATTATTTTCGAAAATACAAATAGATAAATAATTTTATTATATTAAATTTTTCAAATTGATGATATTCACCAAAAAAGTAATTATCTATTCTAAGTATAGAAAAACAATTTATAGAAACAAACTTCCTTTGTTGGTATATTTGTTTCTAGTCAACTTTTAGTACTTAGAAGTAAATATAAATTTTAAATTATGATATTATACCATTTTTATAATTATTTTTAGTATAAAGAATAGGTAATTTCTGCTAGTCAACAAAAAGAACAAAAAATGACTGATTTCTATTATAAGATGTTGACTACAATGAATGCACAATCAATTGAAATTTACAGATTCATAACAAAGTTTTTCCTATTGGCTTTTAAAGTAAATAATTCATATCACTTTGAATGTTGAGAAAAAAACAATAGTTTGACTAGTATGTTGGCTTTATTTCCAATTAGCACTTTACTAGTTAAAGGGAAAACAAATCTGACAAATAGTAAAAAATTTATAAACTAGTAAACTTTTTCGGTTCTGAGTTAAGCAAGTGTAATATTTGACATAATACGATAAAATGATAAGATAATATATTTTTTGAAAAATATATATTAATATATGGTCTCGTCAATATCATAAAATTAATAATTGTTTAAATATGTCAATATATATATATATATATATATATATATATATATATATATATAGAAGATTAGTGAAATATGTCTCTAGTGTTGTTTTTATTTTCTTACGTTTCATTCATTCTTGGTAGAGGTTATTTCAAATATTTGTACTTCATCAAAAATGTTGGATTTGTCTTTTAGACATGATTATTGTTTTTTTACTTGTAATTGGTTCTAAAATTATGTTGATTATAACCAAAAAAATTTATCTTGG